CAAGCACTGGTAGGTACCCACTCCCCCCCCCCCACACCCCATTTAGTGCCCCAGATGGCCCTTCAACCCCAGCCCCCTATAGACTTACCTGCATGCAGTTGCCAGGGCTGCTCCCACCATCCTGCCTGGCTGTATGCCAGCCATGCGTGTGACTGCACACATGCACGTGGTACCCCCTACCTCCAATCGCCCCCATCCCCAGCTCCAAGCCACTCCTTGCAGGCTAGAAGCCTTCCAGCCTGCAAGGGGAAACCTGCAGTTTCCCACTGTTTTTTCCTTTAAAGGGGAAAATGTGGAGGATGACATGAAGCTCATGATGTTCTCAAATCAACCCCTTTAAAGCAGCAGGAAGGAACAAATGGGTTTAGAGCCTCCCTTGCCCCTGGCTGGCTCAAGAATGGATCTCAGTCAATGCTGCTGTTTTGCAGGCTGCAGACTCAGCCTACGCTTCTCCAGCTTTAATTACTGCACAGGTATGATCTGAAGGTTTGAAGGGGAAAATGCATTTTGTTAATAAAGCAGGATGATTCAGGGCTCCAACCTCTCCCCTCCCTCTGCCATCCAGTGTCTACATCGGGGCGGGCAATTATTTTGGGCGGAGGGCCGCTTACTGAGTTTTGGCCAGCCATCGAGGGCCGCATGACAGGCAGCCAGGGGCAGATAAATATTAATTTTCTAATTTTTTTAGGGGCCCCGTGGGCCAGATAGAAAGGCCTGGCGGGCTGCATTCAGCCCACGGGCCACATTTTGCCCACCCCTGGTCCATATCCAGGCCTGTTTTGATCTGTTTTGGCCTGGCTGGCCCTGAGGGGAACCCAGAGAGGATTTTTCCCACCTGAGAGAATGGGAACACAGCACAAGACTGGAAAAACTTGTCTGACCTCAAGTGCAAGATTATCTTCATCCCAAGGAGCCCAGACAGTTAGTCAGTGGCACCTAATTTCCCTTGCATTTTCATCAGTGCTGTCCTGTATAGCGCATGGGGCGGCTCCAGGGGTGGAGAAGGCACCATATAAAAAAGCAGGATAGGGAAAACTTTGGATGGTGGGGGAATGTTTCAAAGCTGCCTATGCAAATTTCATCACCTTCTCACAGAAAGCATGTGCCATAGGCCAAAGGCACTAGCTGTTTCAAGGTTTAAGCTTTTCAGGCTTTAGATGCAGCCCAGTCTTGTGCAATATCCAACTAATTTCCAACAAGGATAGTGAAACCTGGAACAGAGCCACAATACCATGGGGCCCTTGGCCAGCCCAGTAGCTGTCAGCCCAGTACCTGGTTTTCACTGGCCTAACACCAACCCTGGCAGAGCTCAACAGCATAGTGCAATTTACAGCCCACTGTTCACATCAGAGACTCTGCAAGCAGGTTATAAATGTTCTGCAGCTTGGGAAGAAACTGATAGCTATTGGGCTGCATGGAGTTCCTGAAGCCAGAAGGCTTTTACTGTGGCTGCCACTGGCACCTGCTGATAAGCTTACAAGCCAGTTTCTATTACAACCCTGTGTTTTCAAACACTTGTGGCTTCCCTGTCACTGGTCTAGACATTGGTACGCTGCTCTGTGCCGAAGTGAAATCAGTTAAAAAAAAAAAATCTAATCACCCTTAAGTGCTTGCTTCAGGCCATTAAATGCCAACTTAATAACCACAAACATTCTGTGCGTAAAGAACAAGAGAAGAAATTCTGAACTGTGCTAACACTTCTGTGCTAAAGCAACATCAACTTTCCACAGATCATAAGATGGGAAACGCAAATGTTAAGGCCTGAACACTAATAAGGAGGCTTGTACAGTCAATTTGAAATCCAGTGGGAAACAATCAAGACAAAAAAAAAATCAAAAAGCCCTTCCCAAACACCTAACCCCCTCCCCATAAATCTAAAATCTTATAGTAGGCTCCTGGACCCTCTCCAAAGCTGCAGTTTCAAAACATTACCCTTTTCCCTTCTGGGTGCAAACCCACAAACAGCAACAGGGGGAAAAAAGCCCCAAAACCAAACAAACCCGATTGAAGCCAACCAGACACAGGGCTGCTCAGCTGGACACCACCACTCCCTTGCAGGAACGACTAGTGTCTCCCAAGACTGGGAGGCCACTATTTGTAGGTGGCGGCGTCAGCGTCAAGCAGCGAGCGGGGACCACCCGCAGACACCAGAAACAGCATCTGCGTCAAGCAGTGAGTGGGGACCACCTGCAGACACTGGCAATGGTGGGGCAGGTGGTGGTGGCAACCACTTGCAAAAGCTGGTGACAGTGGCCAATTGCAAGGGGGGGGGGAGCATGTGTTCCACCCCTCAATCCCAAGGTCCTCCTATGCATTGCCTATGCTCCCTTGGGTACTTACCAAGTCTAAAGCTCAAGCCCAAACTCCAGGGCATGCTAACTAGAAACAGTCCTTTCATCTCTTTCAGTTACAGCCACTTCTACGGTTGCTTCTAAAAAAGTCTGGGGGAATAAAATGTTAGGTCCAAATCTGATTAGTTGACAGTGTCCCTTCAAAATAGCTATCTTGGCTGCCTGTAACACCCCCTTGCCCTGTGGTTAGACCTGCTGTCATGACCAGAACTTTTGCACTCTTGATGTGTTATAGACTTCAACTGTACAAACACCCGGCTCACTTCTGTAAGCTTTACTCACCAGAGTTGCTTTTACATATACACGCTAACTGGGTGACTTCAATAGGATGCCTCCCGAGAGTCAAGATCTGCAGAAATAGCCTGCTGCATTGCTGTTTGTACTGAACCATAAATTGGGGGTGGGGCATTTTAATTGCAAAAAAAAAGATTGACACTCTCTAAATTTCAATGGAATTTAAAGATAAATGCTTTTTACCTTAAAGTCTCCCATTACCTCCTTTGTATTCACCTTGCCTAGCTCTTGGATAGCACTGCCACCTACTCAGGCTGTTCTGTGCCCATCATCCAAGCACCTGGCCTCCTACCAGGCCACTGTCTCCACACAAACTCCGGGTTCCCCATTTTGCTGTCTCTTGGACTGCCTTTAGAGTTGCTTTTACCTGCAACTGCCCAAGTTATCTTCAACCTTAGCTGTGATATCCTGAGATTGACTTAGGGCAGCATTTCCCAAACTTTTGGTACCGGGGGCACTTTTTTTCTAGAATAAAATGGGCAGCACACTTCACTTGTGCACCCAAAAAGGTCTGCATGTCTATATAAGATTTACATAGCATTGCCCAAGCCCAGTCTTTTGGCCCCACAGACCACATGAGCAGTGCCAGGTCAATCTGCAAGCCAGATCTGGTCTGTGGGCCTGATCCCACCATGCAGAGCTTGGAAAATTGGTGGTGGGGAGTCATGGCCTGGTTTAATTGTCTCTACTCCCCCACCAATTTCTGGATCCATGGGGAGCCCCACAGGCTAAATGCTGCTGCTCTGCATGCTGGATCTGACACTGATTGGGTATAATTTTTCATGGCACACTTCTGCTGCTCCACAACACACTCTTTAGGAGTGCCTGGTCCAGGGAAACTTTCAGTATGGCTAACATTGGTCACACAGCTCCCCTTTCTCCTTTACATTACACCAATGTGTCTCAACTAGAATGTTGCAGTATATGAATCACAAAATAAACCCAGAGATTTCAAATAGGAATCCATGTGCTATTATTTCTCTGTCAGCAAAAAAAAGTGAAAATTAAGAGCTGGTATTTTCCAAGTGTGCCTTAAGCCTAAAAAGGTTAACAACTGAGAATCACACCCTGGTTTCACCAGAAGGGGTCACTATCAGGCAATGCAATGAATGACATGGGATCCAGAAATATGCTCAGAGAAGTCTGCCCTCCTGAAGATCAGAGGGCCAAGACTTCAATCCTGTTTCTGCCATTCATGTCAGTGGTGCAGAACAGGACTTCCCCCTGTTCTTGGTTACTCAAGGGGGATCCCAGTGAGGTCTACAGCTATTCCTGAGTCACACCAGGGAAGCAAGACAATTTGGTCTGAACAGGGATCTCTGCATGGCAATACCTTGTGCAGCTCCTGGGGTTTCTATAACACCATTGACAGGAAACTCCTTGAAGAATCTACCAGCCCAGAGGAAGGGCTTCATTTCCGATGTTCCTGGGGATTTTGCAGTGCTCACACAATTCCTGCTTTTAAAGCCTGAGTCAGCAATGACAAGCTATGAAAACATCTCTCAGTCCTTCCCTCCTCTGCCATCCCTTCCTTCCTGGGGAAGCAGAGAAAGGAGAAAACACTCTGAAGAGTAATGGTAACAGCTTTTAATTTGACAAGAATCAATACATCATTTAAGACAATACTGTTTTTGCCTCGTTTCGAGTTTCCTTCACATACCAGCAGGGAGAGCGCAACTTTATTGGGAAGTACAGTTTTTTTCCTTGGGAATTTAAAGCATTGTCAGTGTGCAAGTCAGTGCTTTTGTGTTTAAAACTTTTTTCCTGGTGATTATTTACAGTTACAGTACCTCGGAGTGATCAACAGGAAAAAAAAAAAAAAAAAGACTGTTTTAACTGGGGATACATGATCCCAAGTCAAGAAAGGCAGGTCTCCAATATTTATATATTTATACATATATATATATATTTATATTTATATAATATTTGTGTATACACAGATACATTTCTCTCTTCTTTAAAGTATTAAAAAAATTGATCAACCTTCATTCTATAAAAATACCTACTCTACAAGATAGAAAAATCTCCCTCTCCAAGTATACACTGATTTACACCCAAAGCTTCTCTGGAAATGTACAGTACGTGGCTTCTTCCCACAGACTTGAGGAGCGAAATGTATGCGAGGGAGACAGCTCAGAGCACTGCCAAGTGCACAGGAGCTTTTGGTCTGCTGGGGTATGCTACACAAGGGTGCAGGAGGGGGAAGGTGGGTGTTGGTGGTTCACTGCCCTGGTGCTGAGAGAACATGGCTCCCTCCTTCGATGCACATCACCCCTTTTCTTGCAGCAGATCTTACAAACAGAAGCCTCCTCAGGAAAGTGTTTTCACAGAGCATCCAAAGGGGACTGGAGATCCTGCTCCTGCCTGGCAGAAGAGTTGAAAGCATTGCCTCCTCTTTGCCCCTCTTAAAAGGGCACTTCCCTTACCCAGTTCAAGGGACTACAGACTTTAAAACAAAAGTCAAACCTGTATAAATATGAATACACTGCACAGGTGCCCGGAAAGCTGGCTCTGTATCATGGAGTGGTAGAGAAGTCAGGGTAGCAACATTGCTTAGGGTGCTCACAGAGATCCCCAGGCAGGCTCCTCTCCCACCACTGGGACATCCTCTAGGCTACCATGAATATGGTTCTGTGCTGTCCTGTGCCCTGTGAAGTGCTTTTACTCTCCAATCTAAGGAATAAAACTATGGAAGAGAGGATAACTCAGTAGTTGTGAGCATGTAACAGGCTTTACAGGGGAGTGAGGAGTGCAGCTACAGAGCTGGCCACTTGCCAAACTCAGATGCTTTAGTGCTAAAGATGAGGAATGCATGTAAAGTGTGGTACTGATGCAGAAGTTTTACACATTACTACAGATTTGGCATTCAACCCAGTTAGCCAAGTCCTTTAAAAGCTAACTGGCTGATTTAAAAACAACAAAACTGCCCCGTATTTTAAAAGAGAAACCTGCTGTCTGTCCCATGTGACTATGCTTGGAATCAGGACAGCTATTTGTTACAGGAAAAGTGTATTTGTGAGGAACCATTTAATATTGACTTGGAGAAAATTATGTTTAAGTTTCACAAACATACCCCCCACCCCAACTTGTTGGGCCAAAACACCTCAGTAACAGAAGCCAGATCCTTCAGGAGCTTCTACCCTTCTTAACGTTATTTTGGTAGCCAGAAGAAAAGGCTCTTTTTAATCAACTCCTCATTTACTTATTATGCAATGCACTGTGAAAGGCCCTTAGATTTAAAAATGGCCTTTCATAGTAGTGAGCCTGAATGTGCTGGATGCAAACATGGCTTTTGTTTCCCAGCGGTCGTGGATTTCAGTCTCCAGCGAGCTGTATGCCCTTCCCACCACAAGGTTCAGGCTCCAGGTAAACTCAGTTGTCTAAGTAGTCAACACAATAATAGCAGTTTCCTGGTTTAGACCAACAAAAACTTGATTAATGCAAGGGTGAAACCAAAGGTAGGGCAGCACAGGGATGTGAGAAGAGGACGGGCAAGAGCCAGCCAGGGCTCTGCCCTATACCCTGGCAAGGGCCCCACCTCCAGTGCTGTGAGCGTCAACAGCAGAGCCCATCTCAGAGAAGATTATTGCCATAGACCGTACCACTTTCATTCTGAAGCGACATTCAGGCATAGGCGACAGTTTCCATGGTACAACAATCCTTGGGCCTGAAATAAGTGTTCAAATGGCTCATGTTGTTTCTCTTCACTGTAGCTTATTCTCTGACACAAGGGGCTGCCTGAATGCAACTGCCTCAAGGTGCTGTGCGCCCATTTGTTGCTGCAGCAATACTAAGGCTATAAAAGTACTCCACGGTAAGGAGGAGTCATACAAACAGAAGCAGGAGCAGGGAAGAACATGCCAGCTGCCAGGCTGGCTCTAGGACTGACTAATAAAGCTGGGAGAGATTGTAGCCCTGCCTTCAGTCCCTGAAGGGAACAACAGGAAGGAAGGGTAGAGAGTCCACCTATCCATGGTTGTGTGACTTTTATCCCTCCCATTGCTTGTTGCCCTACCGCAGGCCCATTCAATTCAGGCCCCACTGGCTTGATTCATAGGGATTCACATCTGATACTTGGGGAACTTGTCCCAAAAGGAGAAAGGGAATGTGGTAAAAGCCACCCCAGTGAATCACACATGGGATGGAGCTTGCTGAACAGTGAGCTCCAAAGAAGATGGAGCAATGTAACATCTCACCAAGCCAGAACAAAACACAAGTGCAGAGGCACAGATCAGGCTCCAACAATGGTCTACAAAAGATGGCCACTCCTCCCTTTTCATCTACCACCTAAATGGAGAACCCATCAGGGCCAAGCCCCAGGGAGTGAGGTGCTAGCAGTGCTGTTTGAAGAAGGAACTTCCCGCTATGAGTGAAAAAAAAAAAAAATATACAGGTCTGGGACAAAGCTTTTCTTGTTGGTAGATTTGCCTTAGTGAGCATGTGCTGGACACTTCGGCAAAGTAGGTGTGTCAGTGGGACAGGGCACAGAATTCAGTCAGCTAGCTTCTCCATCCCATTAGCATCTTCTCTTAATAACAGGCTGAATGGGAGTCATCTCTCTATGGCCCTAGGTTCTGGATAACTCTTTTCAAACTCAGTCCCCACCTGTGCAATAGGGATTTCAGGATTATGGTTTAGACAGTTCCTGTTAGCAGCCATTTATCAACCCCAGTGTTCGATATGTTCCAGTGGCAGGGTGGCAGTTCCTCTTCTTTCCCCTTCCTCTTCTGCCTATGCCTGCATTTCTCCAGATTCCCTTTTTACCCCTCAAAGCCAGGAAGGGTCTTTAAGTAACGGAGTCAAACAACACGGCTTCATTGCTGTTTTTGTTTCTCCCCCGGTCCACTGGATTAATTCATCCAATGATCTGAAGTGATGCTTCTTGTGCCTTCATTAAGATCAAAGGTGTTGCAAGCCTCTTTTCCCCTCTCAGAGCACTAAGTCCACACCAGATCCCGAGTACAGAGTCTGCAGCTTGTGGCCTCCTTATTTGACTTCCAGGATGGATGGATTCGTTTCCATGATGGCAACAATGATCCTGTCAATGTAATCCTGGAGGCGGAAGTTGATTTCTTCCTGTTTTTGAATCGCCTCCATTAGCTGTAGGGAGGAAGGGCAGGGACCTAATTAATAACTAACAGGCCAAAGGTCCAGGACATTTAGCAAGTATCCCCTTGCAATCTCTAGCCATAGATAGCTTGCTCAACAACAAACATGACAGATCCAGGAGGGGCCACTACAAATAAGTACTTTGCCCCGAGAAAGACATCCTACACAACAGATTCCCACCATCCTCTGAGTTTACACCAAGCATGTACACAACTCCTATACGACAAAGGCTACTGCTAACAAGATTAATTCCTTTTACTATACAGCACAAAGTCCAATAGAACTCATAACCTTCTCAATGCCTAAGCACAACCATCTTCTGGCTATAAACTCCCCCTTTTCCCCCCACCAATGTAGGGTCTTTTATGGTCCCCCCACAACAGCATCTGAGCACCTGATAGGTTATGGCTTTCTTCAGAAATGTGCGAAGGCAGCAGCTCAGCCAGAATCTCTCTTCCCAAGAGCAGCTGAGCTGTAGAACAGCATCCCTATGACACAGCATTGCCTTCTTCTGTTAGGCAGCTTTCAGTAGATCTCTACATTGTTAGCGAGCATGGAGGGCATTTCAGCTCTAACTAGGTGCTCACAGGCAAGGAGCATGGATTACATAAATACATCAATCCACCTAAAAACAAAGGGGTTTGAGGTAAACAGGGATAAGCCTCCTGTCAACACCATACAGTAAATACCTCATCTCTGGAGACCGAGCTGATTTCTGCAGCTAGGGACTCTGAAAATGAAGCTGAGAAGAGGTTCTTGGCTCCCTGGATGCTAAGGTTTATGATCTGTCCATTCAGTTCATCATTTTGTTCCTTCAGGTTTCGGTTATCCTGGTCACAACAAAACCCACAAATCAATACAAACAATTTGCATGTCTACAGTGTGAGAAATCTATCAAGCATTAGGTGCTCTACAGAGGTTCTGTCCTATCCTCATTTTGCAGATGGGGAAGTTGAGGCATAGACAAGGGAAGCAACTTGCCCCTGGTGTCCTAGGACTGGGTGGCAGAACCAGAAGGAAGACAGGCTCCTGACTCACTTCCAAGTCAGCAGAGCCCTGGGAGGCCTTACTCAGTAGAAGACACATCAGAAGGATTCTACAGCTTTTTGTATTTCTGCTATGGATCTGGGATTGAACTGTTTCAATGGGGGAAGAAAATAGCATTCCCAGAATGCATCCACCACCTCAGGATACTGAATGGCTGGGTAGGCAGATCACTGCTTCCATGGGGAGAAGGTCCTGCATTCCCCCATTCAGTTTAGAAAATCCAGGCACTCCCTTGCAGTTAAATGTATTCACATTACCCAGTCTACCTGCGAGGACCATCATGCACATGAGCAAACCTAGGAGATTCTGACTTGGGACCACAAGCTGCTTTTAGGTCCAACCCATGTGGTAGCTGTGACTCCAGGAAAGAATTTCTCTGCAGTAACCTGCCTCCACCCCCAACACTGTTCCAGCTGTGCTTCATGAGGAGTCTGCACCAGTTAGCAAGGGTAAACCTAAAGAACATCAGCTGTACTGTTCAGCTGAGCATTGTCACCATTACTGGCTGAACCACTCATCTTCCCTGCCCCAGTCCCAACTACCTGTTTGAGCCGTCTGATCTCTTGCTCCAGCTCTGTCTCCCGCGTCCTACTATTGTACTCCTGGAGTCCCATGCTGCTGCTTCTGCCTCTTCGCTGCTCTGCTTCAAGTTTAAACAACTGCAGGTGCTCCAGCTGCTTCCTGAGGTCCTCAATCAGCTGCAACAGAACAAAGGAGACTAATGCAGTGGGCAGAACAATCAAACAAATCCACTCCCTGAATATGAGGAAGCTAACAGTGAGGTACAGGTGGCCTGACTACCATTGTACTTACACCCTACAGGGGAAAGCATCCTCTTACCAGAAGATTGTGATAGCAGGATTAATGGCCATCTCTAAGGGTGGAAGCAAATGTAATCTTTGGTTGCCTTCATGGTGTCATAAACATTTTCATGGCAGTACAAAGTGAAAAGCAAACAGATGTCCCTGCCTTTTGCTGTGCCACATGCCCAGATTTGTAGTTGCAACAAAAAGTGGTAACAATCTGCGCCACTTTACTGTGGCAGACATCTGTTTGCTTATGGTGGGAGAGCACAAGCAGCCCAGAGCTGCCCATGCTCTCCAGCTACCTGCTCCAGAGTCTTGAGGGGCCCTGATCCTTTGCACTGTGGGAATTTCCAGGCAGAAGTGGACCTTTCAAACCCACAGAGTGCCTGCCCAGCTTTTCCCCACTTACAGAGATGTGTGCCAGGGATCTCCAAGGAAACATCTGGGTAAGCAGGGAAGCTACCAACCCATGCTTCACATGGTGTTATGGGCCAACGTGGGACCTGCATGGAGGCACAGGGCACTGAAGATATCCTAGCTCCCTGCGCCTCCACATTGCCCCATGCTGGCCTGTGCCTCTATGTGAAGCACAAGTCAGCACAGGTCCCAGCATGGAGGCTTAGGCACCAGGGACTCTGGTTCCTGTGCCACTCTACCCTGCTCCACATCAGAACCCACAGTAACCTGCGCTTCTACATGAAGTGTGGGTCCCAGCATGGAGGCGCGGAGCAGAGCAGGAGCTTAAGAATTTCCAGCATTCTGTGCCTCCATCCTGGGATTCCCCAGCTCCCAACCTGGGGTCTGGTGCAGGGCCTGATGAGAGATAATGGTCAACATGCATTTCACCCAATAAAACAGATCAGCTATGGCAGGATGTGACCCACCACAGCTGGTCCACTTGCAGCAGAAACAGACATTACCAAACCAAAGGCAGAAGATGGTTTCTTCCCTGTCCCTCCTCAGACTGTGCACTGTAAAACAGTGACTGCAGACAGGGAGGGGATCCTTACGAATATACTGGACTGAAGAATAAGCACCAGCCCCTGGCATGCCAAGGCAAGAACTGCCCATGAGCTAGTGTCAGGAGGGGATGGAGTGGGGCTGCTATTTGAATTTTTCTTTCAACTCATTTATTCTGCTGTTCCAAGAATTTCACAGCAAGGAGCACACAAGCCCTTCAGATGCACATGGATGTTTTTGGAAGTTCAAGTAACTAAACTGCACTAGAGAGATCATGCAGCTCTGGACTCTCCCCCACTTCAATAAGCCTCAACAGAAGCCTGCTGCTGCGAAATGGCAGTGTTTTGTATCCATCACCTCAAAAGTCAGGCCTGATACTTTAACCAAATGGCTGCTTGCATTATAATACAATCCACCTTGCTTGGTAAACTGAGGCAAAAGCCTCCCTTTCTGCTGTGGATGGCAAACATTAATTTGTCCTGTAATATGGAGAAACCAACCTTCCAGAACCCCTGGAGCAAGGGAAGTTTCTGAACCCTCAGCCCTTTTCAAGAAGAGGTTTGTAGTTTTGCCTGTGTGTAAAGACTCCCTATTGTTTGTCTTGTCAGGAGTAGATCAAGTGCTGTAACACCAAGCATAAGTGATCTTCCACACTGCTTCAAAGGGGACCGTTGAATGAGATGGCAGGACGAGAGGGGGAATGGTTGGTGCAAAGCACACAGAACACATTCTCCTGACAGATGTGAAAAAATAGAAACAAAACAAACAAACAACACCCCCCCCCCAGCTTTTTACCAGAAGAGGAAGGGTGCTGGTTTGACCTGGATCCCCAGCTTCTGTATAGATTGGGTGCTTCAGTGGGGCTTGTTGGCATTTTTATATAAAGCTGATTTAACCAGCTATTGGATACAAGTGCCAAAAAGCCCAGCTGAAGCACCTGATCTATACTGGCTTCAGGAACCTGGGTCAAACTAACATGCGTCTTGTGGGCATGCGCTATGCTCACTGCAGGAACACACTGAGCTAAAAGTAAAACATTCTTTTCACACCTGTAAGCAGCCACAGTTCTGTTCTGATTGTTATTACATTCTTGTCCTTGTTATGATAACACTGGTTGATTCCAAGTCCCATCCTCATGCCTTTTCCATTACACTTAAATATGGATGAAAATGGGCATTGCTGAATAGGGAAAAAAGCCCTAATCAGAGGACTACATATTGCATATCTATATCTGTAAACGCAATTATGTTTGGATGAATTTTCATGTCACTGAAAATGATGGCTTTGATACAAGCTGAAAGGGCAAACAGTACAGATGCTGTGTCAGCTTCCTCTGCCCAGCTACGACAAGGCATCTTTACCGACTGCCTTATGACTAGGCTCTGTCAAGCTACAGTGATTTTGTTTTTTTGAGTAGTGGCAAAAAGGTAGGACAAAATTATCAAGGACATTTTACCTATAAGCAGTTTGCATCTCCTGGTTCCCTAGCAATGAAAGCAAGAGTTCCCCCTCCTCTTCCCCCTGTAGGTGCGTCCATTGTAACTGAAGGCACTGGACAAACACACAGGCAGAAGGGTTTAGACAACTGCATAGATTTACGTACCTCTTGGGTGGACTCTTTTTCCTTCTGGAACTGGTGTCTCTCATGGGTCAATTTGTCTCCCATCTTCCTCTTGCTTTCCTGCTCCTCCTTGAGTTGAGCAGTGAGGTCTTCAATCTCATCTAACAATTTCTGCTTCTCCTGCAACAAGATTTAGCCAGGCAGAAATATCACCAGAATTCTCTCATAGCTTTGCAAGGACTGTCCCTCCTGCTAATCCAAGAGGTCAATCCTACGCATTGCAGTAAGGGAACATGCTTTTAACTGATGTACATTACTGCAGCTACTTTGCCTGCTGTGCTTTCATCTGATCTCTGGGGACTTCACAGACTCAGTGCTCCGGCAGCAATAGAAGATGTAGTAGTGTAGCTAGCTGACACAACTAATGACAACCTGTCTTAAACCATCTATGTGGGCACCTGAATAGCTGCCTAGTGACTCTGCACAGCACAGAAACCATGTTGCTGGACTGGGGCCTAAGTGACAGCTACAAGGCAGAGGTTACATGAAATCAAAGGGATCTCTCAGCTTGAAACAGCATGATGTCACCTCTGAGATGTTTAAGGATAAATAGCAATTCAGAGACATCATACAAACCCCTCCTAAGGCATTTCCTTACTTGGAGGTTTTTGATGAACCAAGATGTGATGGGATCCTTGTTGAGCAGAAATAAAAGCTTTAACTGGGAAATGTAACCCAAAGCTATAATTACAGGGCATTTCTGAAACACCACTATATAATGTCCATATCTCAGATGAATGGTTGCACAGGACAGCATACCAAATCCATTCAAAGGTTAGACATGTAGACGTTAGCAAATTGCTATTAGGTTTTCAAGTTCTGTCAGATCAGCCCCTCTCTATAATGTAGCATAATGCACAGCTAGCCCTTAATGTGAGAGCCAAGTAAAAGATGGCTATTTCAGGAGCACCTTGATTTGATACAGACCAAAGTTCACAAATGTAAGTACTTAACAGCATATGCTTGAACAAATGACCACATTGCTTAGTGCACCTGAAAACAAACAGCTCTCAGTAAAAGTTAAGCCACTACTTTGATGCCTAATGTCAGGCTCTCAGGTTAATTAAGTGCACTGACATTTTCTGGGATGAAAGGTGCTGTGTAAGTGTGAAATTATATTAACAGGAAATCTTTGTTTCAAACATGCTGAATTAAAGGAGACATTCAATTTATCAGCAGGGGTTTCCCTCCTTCATGAAGTTCCAGTATAATTGCACCTGTCATTGCTCATTAGCCACATTTATTCCAATTTAAGCTAAAAACAAAGAAGAGCAATAACACTTTGTGGACGCATCTACACAAGACATTTACTGTGCAGTAGACTAATTAGGTGTGAAGTAAACATCTCTGCACCTACATGAGCCCCCATTAGGCTGGAGTAAAATAATTTACTTCACAGCAGGGCACATGTAGATGCTGGAGGGGCTGGCTGGGGCACGAGGATGCTTCAGTGCAGGGGTTACCTGCTGGCCAGCCCTGCACTGAAGCACCCTCATGCCCCAAGCCAGCCCCTCCACAACACACTGAGCCAGGGGGAGCAACCATGGTCTGGCAGGCTGACCCCTGGGGCTCCTGCCCTGGTTCAAGATGCTGTGAGTGCATGTGCAGATGTGCACGCAGCAGCAATACACTCCAGAGTGATAAAGAGAGAAGTGTCAGGAACAAACACTTTGCAGATGGCTAAATGTGTCCAAGGAAAAAGCAGAGCCACATATAATCCACATCTAAAACCTACTCTTTAAAACGTAGGGTTTCCTATTTATTAAGTGATCATTTTATATAGCACCTGTTAAACCAGAAAACCCCCCAAACAAACCTCAATGCACTTTTTAAACCAGGTCTTGATAGATGAATCACTGGGTTGAGTCCTGTGGCTTGTGTTACGCAAACGATCAGACTAATAATAGCCCCTTACAGAGCCTTAAAGGCTCTGAATCCAGGAAAAAACAGAGGCTCCAAAATATGCAGGCATCTAAATGTAAATTTCATCTTCTGGCACCTTTGCTCACAGGCAAATATGACTAATTTCTATTTAATACACACATCTCAAATCATACACATACATTTATACCCATGCACTCCCCTCTGCCCACTTGCACATGTTCTTAGCATAAAGATTTTTTCTCCTGATGAATTTGGCAATTAAAAGAAAAACGTCAATAAAGTTTGCATCACATCCCCACTGCTAGGTACATACTCAATGGAACCTAGATATAGTGATCAGGGAGGAAGAATAAGAAACAATTCAATGCTCTGAAGCTAGAGAGGCTAGTATATAAGAGGGTTCCCCTGCACTAGGTTAATTTAAGAGTACCCATTCTGGTGACAGCAACTGAGACTTCCATAAAATCTGCCAGAAGAGGGCAGCATCTCATGCACAAATGGTACGACAAAGGGATACAAAGCATATAAAGCAGGGGTGGGCAAAATGCGGCCCAGATGCGGCCCGCCAGGCCATTCTATCCAGCCCACGGGGCCCCTAAAAAATTTAGAAAATTAATATTAATCTGCCCTGGGCTGCCTGTCATGCGGCTCTTGATGGCTTGCCAAAACTCAGTAAGCGGCCCTCTGCCCAAAATAATTGCCCGCAACAGATATAGGAGCATTGGCTGTTGGAACACATTCCATCCTCTGGTGAGACTAGAAGACTGCTGATGAAGTTCATATTCAGACTGCATTGGCTCAAGCTGCTCAACACCAAGATCTACAGAGTTTTAAAAGAAGACAATGCAGTGACTCAGTCTCTCCAGACAGAGCTGTGGCCCAGGGTAATATTTAGGGTAGGACTGGAAGAGATGAGGCTTCAAAAGGCTCTCTTTGTTGCATAACCTAGACTCCATACAAGTCTATTGTATAAATGAACAGCCGCATTTTCTGCTCAGAGTTGTCAGCCAAAAAACCCAAATCACACGTGAACTGAACAAGATTGATTTATCCAAAGTTCATGACTCCCAAGGAAAACCGCAGTGGCCCTCCCTCCCCATTTTGCAATTGTTATATTCAGTGCCATAGCAACAGAGTTTGGCACCCAGGGCAAAGCCCGCAGTGGCAGCCCATCCTCGCCTCACGCACAGATCCAGGAGGCACAGGCCCCGCCCTCCCCCATGATTACCTGGGACTGCACACACAAGTGGGAGCCTGTGGCTCCATCCCATATCCTGCCCTGGCTGGGCAGTGCCTATTGGCATCCCCTTGCTTCAGCACCCAGGGCAGTCACCCTGCTCGCCCCCCTTGCTATGGCACTGGTTATATGGTCTTGGAAGAAAGACAGTACAAGTTCTGCCTAATACACCAGGTTCTGCCTAAGACAAGTTTGAAATTACACTGCAAAGACGTGAAATGAAGATATGCACAGGAAAGAAACAGCATCAGAAGAAGGTGCTGAATCACAGCTAAAGAATTAATACCATATTCTAGCACAAAATACAGAGATGTGCATCCACACTTTCTCACCCCAATCTCTGGCACAGGGAACAGATCGCTCTTCCTATTTTTAGTACACAGAAAAATAGATATATAACATCATTTAAGTAAGTATTCCCCCTCACCTCCTCTAGCCTCTCGATACTGGCCTTCAAACAAGGGACGCAGGATCTCAGCTCACTGTTATCATCATCCAGCTGCTGTAGTCTGTAGCAACAAATATACACACAAATTTCACCAGCATGCCTCCAGCACTGGAGAACTTTATAGCATTAATCATAAGAGCACATTCACTGAAGGCAGGAACATGGAATCAGAAGTATGGGGATGGGATGAAGGCAGCACTCCAAAACTGACCTTCTCCCTATCTCAAAGTAGAACTCAAAATTTTCAAATCTCCCCATTGACAAACATGGAGACAGAGAAGCAGACATTTGACTAAGTGTGGCTGGACTCCTGTGATTTTTGCCTGCTGTTACAAATACTCCATCCATAAGGCCCCATGCCATCTTTCAGGTTGAGGACAGGGCTACCTTCATTGCTCTTCCTTCTGTTGGAACTGCTTCACCATGTCCACATCCTTCACTCTGGACCTGATCCTAGCAAAACTCTCACTGACTCTACTAAGAACAGGATCAGATGTTTTGCCTGTTCTCATGAAAGTGATTCGAGTTAGAAAGTCAAACAGGCTTTCATGGTCTTTTCACATGGCTCAAGTGAACACTGTCTTTATTCATGCATTTGGAGCAGGAACAAGGAGGAGACATATATAGGCTAAAAGTAAGCAGAATTAATTAAATCCAAATAAGACGTTCTCCCCAACTAGAAACTGAGCATCAGTTCTGAGGTGGTTAATTTACTATTTTTGGATAAAGTTGTGGGAAAAAATAAAGCAGGAAAAAGAGGGGGTTAGAAAGACTTTGTACAGCCATTATTGAAGCAGCATAAACTTGGATGCAAAATAAGATGGAAACTTACCCACTGCTGTGTTCTAATCATGAAACGCATTTAACACAAAACCATATCAGGAAACCTGCACAGCACAAGGCTGTGGCTGCTGGACCAACCTGGCTTGCAGATTCTCAATCTCAATACTCTTTTCTCTCTCCATCTTGCTCAGAATTTCCCTCTGTTTTTTGATCTCCTCCATGAGGGTCTCATCTGCTTTCAACTCCTGTTCCTTCAGCTGCTCCTCAAGGGCATTAGCTCTTTAGAGAGAAGGAAAGATGCCGATTAACCATTCCTGACATTACACAAGAGTCCCGCGGGCACTCTGCTATTTTGAGAGAAGGGATGTCCTTTTTCATCCTCTTCAGTTTACTTCCTACCAGATTTTCCATGGGAGTGATCAGGGAACCTGAAAAATCGTAAGATGTCAAAAGGAAGTGTGCCTGTACAAAGCAGAAGGAAGAGACGCCTAACAAGGGCTCACCTCATTAAAGACCATGTGAAAGCAACTGGCACACTATTTATCCATAACCAGGTCTATTTCAAATTTAAGATAACCCCCCCATTAATTAGATTCCACGCATGGAAAACTATACATTGTTTAATTATATATATTATTTAATGTTAAATATGGTATCTTTACAGCCATGAAATCCACCATTCCCCTCTCTGGGGTCTTTAGTACCAACTCTGAAGCATCTAGATTTGACAGTAGAATCATTGTGAATCCAAAAAAGGAGGCAGATAGATTGCCACCACACTCTGAATAGCCTCAGTGTTACAGTGAAACCCTTTTTAAAAGGAAAGATCAACTTATCAACTTGCCAACAAGGACAAGGGCAGAGTCCTGGACTTGGGCTGGAATAATTGCATGCACAAATACAGACTATAGGGTATGAATGCTTAAACTGCAATACTGCAGAGAAGGAGCAGGGATTACAGTAGACCAGAAATGCTCAACCTCTGGGCCAAATGTGGCTCATGGAGTCATGGCACCCAGTCCGCAGGGCTCCCCATGGGCTGGGAAATATGGCGGCTGAGAAGCAGCGACAGTTAATGCTGTCACCCTCCCTTGCTGCCAAATTCCCAAGCCCCACAGCCAGATCAGGGCCAAGCCATGCCCCCTTCCCCACCTTGCAGCCAGATCAGGGCTGGGCCATGCCCCCTGCTCTCCTCTGCATCCCCCTCCAGGAATGGGATTCAGGACCACCAGCCAGATCCAGCCCACAGGCTAACCAGGCACTGCAGTACCAGTTGAGTACCACTGCAGTAGATCATAAGATGAGTATGAGCCAACAGTGTACTCTTGTTGCAAACAGACAGCATACTGGATTGTTTCAACAGGAGTGAAAAGTCAGAATACTAGGCTGGGATGGTTTTGAAAATTAGAATGCCTGTCAGGGATGATCCCACTTCAAACATGGGGCTGGGATAGATGACTTAACAAGGTCCCTTCCAGCCCTACTTCCCTAGGATCCTATGAAAAAGAGTGCTTAAAATTTGCACCTTAGTGGAGCAGTGTAAAATCTGGGTGCTCCACAGAATAAATGATGGAACTGAACCATGTCTAGTCCCTTCATTTTTTTCCTTTCCAACTTGGCTGCCATTTTCTCCTGCATTTCTAATGCAGTATGAAATTCACATGCTACACAAGGGAAATTCCTTTCTGCTATATCAAGGATATTTGGGCAGTTCTGGAAATAACATTCTTTGGCGTTCAGCAGATCCTATACAAGTGATGTAGGTCTTACATAATGACTGTCGCAGAGACAAAATGTTGGGATTTGGAAAGCAACTTTAGCCAGTTTAGAATAAGTTCATATTAAACTACATCTAAGACCTAAAAGAATGTGCCCATTTCCCTGTGAATTCACATCCAAAAGGGAATTCTCTTAAGTGAAATGTGGAGGTATTTCCTATCCAAACCTAGAAGACTTTTCTTGCCATGTGGTTCTCAGCAGAGCACAGAAATCTCAGAAGGCCTGTAGGTATGCTAAGCTAGAACACAAATGCTTATTAATCTAAGTATGCAAATATGCAAACCTGTTCTTGGAGCAGGTGAATAAGTGGTGCACAGACTAGCTTTCATTTTTATGCCAAGGCAACACACAGGTGAATTAGCTTCAATACAAATTGCTGAGAAGTTTGCCGGGATATTATTTTATGTAGTTTATGCTGACACATTTCAAAAGCAATATGATACCGGTTTCAGGCATTTTCAATAGATCACCCCATGTGAAGACAACCCTTTATTTGAATAAAAACCAGTTAACCCTGAGCTAAGTGATTAAAATGAAAACATCTTATTACTGTGAAAGTTTAGCAAGGAAACCTTTACTTGAGTAACACACAGCTCTGTGACACACTTGTTACTTACCAATCTTACAGTTCTATAAATGAAACTTCTAATAGCTTTATGTGGTGAAGGTAAATGGAGTTGGAAGATAGAAGCTTATCTGAGATTAAAGAGCAAATGATTATACTTAGATGAGGTTTAGAGTTTATGTTTTTGCCAGCATCTGAGAGCAATGAAGTCATTTGGGGCTGTGGGACGTATAGATGTTTCCTTAACAGTTGTTAAAATGCATTGGACTAAATGAAGGGCTAAGTAGGGGGGAAATAGTAATTTCTCCTTTCTAAATTGTATTAGATGTATTATTGCTAACTATTTGTCAAAGTAGTAGCATCCTAGGGAAGAATTAAAGCCCTATCATCCTAAGCATTGTGCGCATACAGAAGTGACCATGCCTGTCCTAAAGAGTTTGCAAACTATGTTGACAAAATGCTCCTAGATTCCATACAGATTATTTATGAATGCAGGGGCATCATTGCCTGAAGGTGAGCTACTCACACCTGTCAGGCTGCATGCGTAACTGAATCCTCAGTAATTTATCACTGACCCAGGAAACTGGCAGGGCAGGGCAGAGCACTGGAGATAAAGGCACACAGGCAGGGCACTGGAGATAAAGCAAAGGGGTCTCTTGCAAAGAAGGCAATTGGATGCCTGCTGACTTTAAATCAGCAGCCTTTGGACTGGATGTTGTTTGGGCCATTGAATGAAGGCAGATTTACTAAGTTTTAATACTCTGCTCTGTCTTTTTGTACCTTCCTTTTCTACTGGCTTGCTTCCAGCACTTAAAACAGGAGCTCCCAAAAAACAACTGCCTTTCACACAGTCAGTAACCCTAGGGAGGATAAGGGTGAAGGTTCCATTCAGAGTCACTTTCTAGTCCAAATACACACACACGCATACATGCACACACACATGCGCAAGGAGTAGAGGAAGGGAAGTAGCTCTAGAATACCATCAGAAACTCATGCTGAAGCTGTTTGCCCCTAGGATGCAAGATGAGCTCCCTCACCTGTGCACAAGTTGCAGATTTTCCTGTTTTAACCGATTGTGCTGCTCCCCATTGGCTGCTGTGTCCTTTTCCAGCTCTGTGACCCTCTTCTCCAAGAAGATAACCTGTGCAGAGAGACAGACGGGAGACCAAGATGCCAATGGAGTCTTTCATTTTAGCCATTGTCATTAAGAGCACTGGCAAGCTGCTACCTAGCACCAAGAATCATCCCCATCAGGACTGAAATCTAGGGAGCCAGTGAAATAATTGCATGAGAGAAATAGATTTACTCCGGCGGCGGAAGCAGCAGGCAGTTGCTTCTAACACATATTGGCCTTGTTTGACTCCTATAATATCACTAACTATTGTCACAGAATCACCTGCTGCTGTTTGAGCATTCCCGACCTCCACACTCGCTGACTTTATTTGTATTTAAATAGTTTGAGAATAGGCTGCTCTTACATTTTTTTCAAAACATGCTTTGTTCTCCTTCATAGCCTGGTTCCTAGACCATTTCCCCAATATCAATATGGGACCAAGCAGTTCACTGGAGTATCATCTTCCAGATTAATCATGTTACACCAGTCACCTTTCTCATGAAGGCTTTGAAGTTGTAGGTCTATAGAAGACAACCAGCTGCTGTAAACTGTAATAGATTTACTGGAAGTCAGAACTGTAAAAATTTACACCAGATACAACTATGCCTTATGGTACTTAGAAGAGACACAATATCCATTTTCCCCTTAAAAAGTGTCCAAGTATTTTTAAACAAATAACACTTTTGCCAATTCTTTAAAAAAAATTAGACAAAAGTAACTCTTCTCCCTCCATGTTTACCTTATGCGTAGTGTTCCACATTTTCAGTTTTTATTTAAAAAAAAATCTGGGAATTTTTCAGAGTTTATTTTCCAAGCATAAAAACCAGGTTCAAACTGGGATAAGAGGAAGAAAAGAAAAAAAAAATGGATTTAAAACAGGGAAAATAATAATACGTTCCCATGGCGGTAAGGGAGGAAGGGAGTAAGGCAGGGACTAGGGAAGGGGCAGGGGGAGGGGCATGGCGCAGCCTGTCGGCCGCTCCTGGGGCTGCAGCAGGCAACCAAGCGGAGGGAACTGTCAGTGGGTGCGGGGTGGGGGCGCACAGCTCTGGCTGCTACAAGCACCCCAGGAGGGCTGCAGGTGGGGGGCTGCACTGGGCTCTTCCTGGGGGGCACATGCCCCCGGATCTGCACACAGGACAAGAGCAGACTGCTGCTGCAGGCTGGGACCAGTAGTAGTACTGGGCTCTTCCTGGTGCTCAAGGCGAGTGGTAACCTGCTCTTGTCCAGCGCACAGATCCAGGGGCATGCACCCCCCAGGAAGAGCCTGGTGCAGCCCCCCAGCCCACAGCCCTCCTGGGGTGCACGTAGCAGCAACAGTCATACCCCCCCCCGCCAACACCCACTGACTTAGTTCCCTCTGCAGTTGGTGTTGGTTGTTTCCGGGGACGCTGCACAAAAGGGCTGGGATAAGTGTCAGCACTTGGGGGTCAGGAGCAGAGGGAGCAGAGCGCACATGTGCCCCACACACATGTGGCCTCTTACCTAGGTGGCGGAGGCAGCAGGCAGCAACAGTGGCGGCAGCGGAGGGGACAGCAGCAGCTGATCCCTAAGCTAAGTGGGGGAGAGGGTGCCGGCGCAGCTGAGGCAGATCCGAAGGGGAAGCTCTTTGGATCCCTCTTAGTTCAGCCAGCAGGGAGCTGCGCTCCCGAGCCATGTGCAAACAGGTATGCTCTGTAAGGGCACACCGGCATTTCCGCTGGTGTTCGCATAAGGCGGGGTGCATGGTAGCAGCCCAGAAGGGTGCCTCCAACAAGCGAGAGTAGTAGACTCAGCTCCCCGGACATGGTGCGGTCGCAGAACGCAGCTGCTAGGGACCCCACCCCAGCGGTGCCACCTGCCCTGGGCTCTTCTGAGGCCTCCACCTAGACAGAGCTCCTGGTAGGGTCAGTAGCCCCTTGCCCCCGTCTGTGGGGGAGGCTCAGTGAGGTCCCAGCAGCCGGTGGGAGTGGGGCCTGGTGGTTCCCTTGCCTCTCTCTCCTGTGCCTGACTTAGGGCTCTGGAGGAGCAGGTATGGGAGCTCCAGGCTGAGGTGAGCAGGCTGCGGGGGATCAGGGCTGCAGAGGACAAAATTGATTCATATTTCTGTTCACTGCAGGACCAGTCATTCAGTGTACAGTCCCCCCAGGAGACACGTTCAACACAGGAGTGGTAGAAGGTATCCACCAGATCCAGGGCTGCTCGGGCTAGCGTGGTGGAGGCTCCCCAGGTACAGCTGGGGAACAGAGACGAGGCCCTGGCAGCCGTGGTGGAGAAGGACGAAGGGGATGCCTCCAGCAGGGACGATGCCACTCCATGCAAGACACAGACGGTACAGAGAGGAAGCATCAGGAGGAAGAAACGCCGGGTCCTCATCATCGGGGACTCCATCCTAAGGAGAACACAGGGACCCATCTGCCGACCCGACCCCATGGCACGAGAGGTCTGCTTCGTGCCTGCGACTTGGATTCAGGACATCGCAGAGATGGAATTCACCATCCAGCGCAGGGTGTCAAGGGCCTGCAGCAAGGCAGTAGCCCTTGACTGCAAGAGGGCCAACTTCAATGCATTGAGGAGATTAGCGGGAGAAGCACTGGGGTCCTGGAGAGCAGGGGAATTGGGTGCCCCAGATGAGTGGTTGTTCCTTAAGGAGACGATACTCAGAGCCCAAGGGGTGACAATCCCAACAAGAAGCAAAGGGGGCAGGAGTGCCCAAAAGCTCCATTGGCTCACCAAGAGCATTTGGGAATGCCCGATTGCCAAAAAGGAGGCGTACACCCAGTAGAAGAGAGGGGCTGTCACCAAAGACGAGTATACCTCCACCGCTCGGGTCTGTAGGGGGGCTGTTAGGAAAGCCAAGGCAGATACGGAACTAGGGCTAACATCAAAGATAACAAAAGGCACATGGGGAGCATGAAGAAGGCACTGGGTAATGTGGGGGCCCCTGCAGGATATGCTGGGCAATCTGGTGGTTGCACCAGAGGAAAAAGCAGACCTCTTTAACAATTTCTTTGCCTCCATTTTCTTGAGCAGGGACTGGGACTCCCCTACCGAGATTCAGGACAGACTCAGGAGAAACTCTGCCAGGCCTAGGGTCAGGGAGGACCGAGTTAGGGAACTTCTGGAGGGGCTGGATGTGTTCAAATCAGCAGGTCCAGATGCTCTCCACCCCAAAGTGTTGAGGGAATTGGCAGGGGTTATCACAGGGCCCCTGGCACAGCTTTACGAGCCCTTATGGTGCTCTGGCCAGGTACCGGATGACTGGAAGAGGGCCAATGTAGTCCCCATCTTTAAAAAAGGGAAGAGGGAGGACCCGGGCAACTATAGGCCCATTAGTCTTACTTCAATCCTGGGGAAGCTCTTTGAGAAGATTATCAAGGAGCACATCTGTGATGGGCCAGCAGCAGGGATGATGCTCAAGGGCAACCAGCATGGTTTCATTAGGGTCAGGTCCTGCCAGACCAACCTGGTTGCCTTCTACGATCAGGTCACAAAAATCAGAGGACGCAGGTGTCACGGTGGATGTAATCTTTCTGGACTTCAGGAAGGCCTTCGACACTGTCTCTCACCCTATTCTCATTAAAAAGCTAGGCGACTGTGGTACTAATGCCTACACAGTCAGATGGATTGCAAATTGGCTGAGGGGTTGTACTCAGAGAGTAGTGATGGACGGGTCATTTTCGACCTGGAGGGAGGTGGGCAGTGGCGTCCCCCAGGGCTCAGTCTTTAGGCCCGCGCTGTTCAATTTCTTTATTAGCGACTTGGACGACGTGGTGAAAAGCACCCTGGTTAAATTTGCAGACGACACCAAGATTTGGGGCGAGGTGGGCACGCTAGAAGGGAGGGACAGGATACAGCTGGAGC